CCTCTCTTCTACCAGTCCGTGTCCTCTGACTCAGCCCCTCCTGCCCTCCCCTGTCTCTCTAGATCTCCTTTGCTGACAACCCAACCTCTCCTGGGCCATCCCCTCCTGGGCTATCCCAGCAGGGCCTATGCAGAGTCTGGGTCCCTGACTGAGCCCCGGGCTCCCGTGCTTTGATCAGGATGTCCAGGGCGTCACTGATGGCCGACCACTCGGAGGAGAGGTGTCCACCATAGCATCTGTAGCAGCCCCCATGGGAGCTGCTCCCAGGGCCAGGGGGAAGTCGACCTGAGACAGCCCAGCCTGGGGCTGCCGGCCGGGGACTGGGAGAGGTCATTTTCCCCTCCTTGGACAGAGTGAATCTGTCATAGACAAGGTCAGAGTGACACTGGAGGGTCAGGTTATGTCCAGGGACCAGGACAGGGCCCTGCTGGGTCAGGAGGGAGGGCTTCCTGGACAGCCCTGGAGGGAGGAAGAGGCAGGCTAAGGGGATGGCTCCCGCCATGCCCCTGCTCTCTTGCCTGGCCCTGTGGGTCTTCCTGATTGTCACATGGGGTTCCTAGCTCTGTAGCTGTCCAGACCCAACCTCCGCCTGGGGATGCTCTCTAATAGGGCCTTGTCCGTTGTTTCAGGACTCAAATATGATTGGATCAAATAAAGAACTTTCCTACCTGAGACCAGGAGCTCCAGGGTGTCACTGGAACTTGACCACACTTGGGGTTTATTACTGTAACAGCCGTAGCATCTGAATGTCCACCTCTGCCTGGGGGTCAGATGATCCACATGGAACAGGGCCTGCACCTGCCCAGCGAGGCTTTTCTGTGAGTCCAGGGACCAGGAGAGCTTGTCTCCTCCTTCCTTAGTCAGAATGAACCTGTCATATCCCTGCCATGAGGCACACTGGAGGGTGACGCTCCCTCCTGAGGTCACCTCAGGGCCGGGCAGGGCTGAGAGGCTGGGTTTGCTGTAGCATCCTAGGAGAGAAGGAGGCAGCATGTGAAATGGACTCACACCTCCCACATAGTCCCAAGGGCTGGGCTGTGAGAAGGGGACACCCGTGAGAGCAGACCCCTTCCCGAGGGCAGAGCCTGGGGCTGGGACCCCGAGTGTCCCCTCACCTGTCACCACCAGCTCCAGGGGCTCACTGTGCTGTGACCAGCCAGCAGGGCTGCGATGGTAACAGTGATAGTGCCCTGCATCACCTTCTCTCATGGATGGGATGGAGAAGTTGGCCCCATTCTTGAGTTCCAGGGATGTTTGTCTTTTCCAGGGCACTTGACTTCCCTGTTTGTACAGACTGTACTCCTGGGCCCCCGGAGGCCCCTCACACCAGAGAGTCACAGGTTCCCCCCTCGGTATCACAGCTGCTGGCTCAGCCCAGAGCCTGGGTTTGGGGAGGGTCCCTGCAGGGAAATCAGAGGTGGGTGGCAGGATCTTTTTCTTCCTCTCAGACCCCAGCTCTCAGCCCCAGGACCCTCCAGACCTCCCTGCACCAGCCCACACCTGCTGTGCTCCATCCCCACTGCCCAGGCATGGCCCCCTGTCCCCAGGTGTAGGAGGGACCTTGGAAAGCTGGGCACACACTCACCTGCCTGCACTCGGGTCCTGGTGCCCAGACTCAGCCCTGGAAGAGAGTTCCCTGTGAGAGGTTTGCCCTGGAGCCTGATGGGCCAGAATCTGGCTGTGGGGCTCCACACAAGGGCTCCCCACCCACATTCAGTTCTCACCAATACAGAGCAGGGCGGTGAGTGTGGCGGTCATGGCGTCTCCTACCTCCAGGTGAGACTGTGGACGGATGAGACCACAGTGCCTGACACACAGAGTTTTGCAGCTGAGGATTGTTGTCTGCCCTTCACAGGGTGGGCAGGCCAGGAGCCCACAGGAAGCGGAGCTGACATCCACCGACACCCGGGCTGTTTTTTTTCCAGGGCAGAGGCTGGCTGGGCTCCAGG